GGTGGGGACGCCTGGCCCCAGCCCCACCAGGGCCAGGGGTGGGTAGGCTGTGGCACACTAGCAGAGGACCTGCCTGGAGTTGCTGTGGGGAGAGGGCTGGGCACCTTGCCCCACCCCTGGGCAGCCAGGAATGCAGGGGGAGCTGCCAAGCAAGGCTTTGGACCCACCTGCTAGGGATAGTAGACCTTGTTCTTTCCAGCTGTAGCGGGTGTGTTGGAGGCAGAGCCCAAGTGGGGCACCTCCTGCTTCCGACACCAACACTGTGGCCTGTCACCAGGCATTTGCAGAGCAGTGAAGGTAAGTTGGCAGCAGGGCCTGGAGCTGCCTTTCGCATGTGACTGGAGTCACCCATGTCCAGAGGCCACATCCTAGCTAGGAAGGGGGAGGTTTTATATGGCCACTACGGGGGTGCCTTCACCTCACAGCTCCATCATTATCCTTATTTTAGTTGACAAAATTAAGATTCAGTGATGGGAGGTGACTTGTCCTGCCAGGCTGGGAACCTAAGTCTGCCCCTTCCTGGGTGAGGCCCTTCTTCCTGAGGAGGCTGGGGAGTCACATTGCCCTGTTTGCCCACCCACAAATCAGCTGTCACCTTTTGGGGATTCCCAGCTGGGTGTAGGCTGATCCCTTACTCAGCTCCAAGCTGCTCTCAGCTCTCATTGGTAGGGCTCAGGCCCATGGCAACCAGGTTGGGGAAGCAGAACACTAGCTATAAGGCTAGGGCTGCAGGCACCCGAGGCCTCCCAGAAGCCCTGCTGGGCCTCTGCTGACTGCATGATGCAGAAGAAACACACTGGCACCCATCCTTGCCCAGCCTCACCTCTCAAGACAGGATGGGAAGGCTCTGCCCAGACCTACCTCCTAGGAGAGAGTTGCTGAGGATTAAAGCCAGGCAGGGCTCTGCTCACCGGTCTTCTCTTGTGTTCCCTACCAGTTGGTTCATGGGACGCCGGCCCGAGTACACAGACCCCAAAGTGGTGGCTCAGGGTGAAGGCCGAGAAGGTAAAAGTTTGATACTCTCACCCTTGTCCTGGCCAGGCAGGCTGGAGCCTGGGGAGGGGTGAGGTGGGCCCCAGTGCCTGGGAGCCTGGAAAGCAGAGTACTGGAGCAGCCCCAGAACTCTGAAGCCACCTCCCAGATGAGGGCTTTGCTGGAGTAGAGAGCTCGCCATATCTGTTGCACTGAGCCTTTCAACACAGGCTGGGCACTGTCATCCCCACTTTACAGAGAAACACTGAGGCTTAGAGCAGCCTTAGTTTGTCTGCCCAGCCCAGCAGGCTGATGCCGCCTTTCTGTCTCCAGTGACCCGTGTCCGCTCCCAGGGGTTTGTCACCCTCCTCTTCAATGTGGTAACCAAGGACATGAGGAAGCTGGGCTATGACACGGGACCCCAGAGTATCCTGGGGCTCAGCCCTGCCCAAGGCATCCCTCCATGAAGGCCTCAGCTGTCCTCCGGAGTCTGGATGGTGCGCTGTGTGGCTCCCACATACACAAGAACTTTCCCCCTAGGTCGGCCACAGACCCATTGGCCTCAGGTGTGACCTGGTGTGATGCTGGGGTGGGCTGTGGTAAAAAAAAGCTGTGGGGTTTTATATAATAAATATTTTTAGAGAGCCCGGGCCTGGGACTGCCTTCTCTCCCTTTTATCATCGCCCTGTATAGGAGGCCACAGGGAAAGAGCTTTACCATCACCTTGGTTCTATTGCTTGGGGCTACAGAGCCTTGTTGCCTCAAAACATCTCTAAAATGGGCATGGATTTAAAAGTAGGACCTTGCCCGGTGCTTGGTACTGTGTCGGTGCTCCGTGATGCCAGCCTCCCTTGGAAAAAGGAGAGTCCTGTGAGCCGAAATCTGCCCTGGGGCTCACATCCTGCTGCACGTGCTTAGGGCCTTTCTCACCTCTCCTGGGAGCAGACCCTCCCCCTACACCTTCTCTCCAGAACTCTGCCCTTGTTCCTCCCTCCTGGCACTCCCTCCAGGCCCCACCACCACTTCCCCATCTTCCTGGGGTCCCCAGCTGCCCCTTGGGAAGGCATGAGACCCCTGTCCTCCTCCAGTCAGCCCCAGCCTCCAGACTCTTAGGTCAGGAAACAACTGGACTTGAGGCCGGCGTGGGCGCCTCTATCTCGAAGTCCTGTTTCCTCTGTTTGTGCCCTCCCCTCGCCCCGTGCCAACTGGCCTGTCACTGCCTGAAGCCTTGGCCCTCAGGACCATTCAAACCTGTCACCATGGCTATCTGGCAAATAGCCATCCTCTTCTAATGTTCACCGATTTCCCCCAAAGTTCAACTGTCTCGAGAGCAAGTTGAAATAACTTTATAGTGAACGCCACACAACACATTCTACCATCTGGACTACTGTGGCCATGTCCCTGCACAGGTTCCACATCCAACAGATGAAAAATACTAGGAAAACAAATTGTGACTGTCTCGATTGTGTATGGCCCTTTGTTTTTGGGGGGAGGGGGAAGGTGGTGAAGGGGGTCATCAGTAACTGCCCACATAGCCTAGAGGTGACTCAGTATCGAAGAGGACATGCATGGGTTACATGCACACATCACACCATTTACACGAGGAACTAAAGCATCTGGAGGTGGGGGAAAACCTATCCCCCAGGATACTGAGGGACAAGGACTGTACTTGTGTTTTCCTATCTATCCAAATACTCCTGAGTCCATCCTGGGCTTAATGCATTCCAAAGTAAACTTCAGACAAGTACTACAAGTACTATGCCCCAAGTTCAATTCCAGTAAAAAGGTAAACGGAGCATCTTAGCATTAACTGGGGTTGATATACTTTCAGTTACTGCCTTCTTTTGAGGGAACATTTATATCTACAAAAGGTCTCTAGGTATGCTATGGGCTAGGTTTTGATCAATGCATACCCCAGCTCTGATCAAGCACAAACCTGTCATCTACTTCTACCCATCAATGACAGACCATGACGTACTTCAGAGGCTGATAACTCCAGTGCATACCAGGGATATGGGGAGCAGGGTAGACATGTGTGACCATCTAGATGGAGGGCAGCTATGGCATATGGTCCCTGGTTCACCCTTACTTGCTGTCACAAAACTGTGTGTCCACAGTTTCGTGTCTCTCCTGGTCTTATGGGAACACTACATCTCCCAAGTCCTTAGTGTTGCGGGGAGAGGAGTCCACGTGAGTTCTGTGTAGCTTGAGCCAAGTATAATGGTTCACACCTGTAATTCTAGCTCCTGCAAAGGCTGAGATCAGGAAAATTGCAGATGAAGGCAGTTCAGGCAAAAAGTTCACAAGACTCCATGGCAAAACAGTAAAAAGCTGGGCATGTTGGCATGTAACACCCCAGCTTCATGCAAAACAAGAGGATTCACAGACCAGACCATCTGGGGCAAAAAGTAGGACACTAGTTGAAGAGTAACAAAAGCAAAAGGAATGTCAGCTACAACTCACTGTACTGAGCTGCAGGCAGATTCTCCCTGAGGCTGTGGAGCTCACAGCTCTGGGTGCTGGGAGGAAGAATGGATGGTAGGATGTGCCAGGGAAGTTGGCTGTAGTCTGCAGCATCTGGGAAGCTATTGCAGGAAAGATGAGCTCAACAAAGAATGGGCCAGTCTGTGAGCAGAAATGAAAGATAATAAAAAGCAGCTAAAAAACTGGCATTAAGAGATTGAAAAGGGAAGTGGAGCTGTGGCTCAAGTGGTAGAGTGCTAGGCTTGAGCAAAAAAAGCTCAGGGACAAGTGTCCAGGTCCTGAGTTAAAATCCTAGGACAGGCACAATTAAAATCATCCTTGCATATTTTAGCAATGGGTCAACATTTAAAAAAAAAAAAAGAGGCTGAAAACAGAATTCCAATGGAAAGCAAAGATTGAAAACTGATTTGAACAATTAAAACCAAGCAAAAATGAGTCCTCATCTGAACAAACAGCCTTCATGGTAAGTATCAGATGAGGGGGTTCCAGGTGATCACCCTGTGGAATTACCACTAGAAGAGAAGCAGGGGAAGGCAATAAGGAATTAAGGCAGGCTCTTGTGTGAGAATTTTCTGTGTGCTTGTTGTCTACTGCTGAGTAACAAACCACTTCAAGATTCAGAGTTGGAAACAGTCATTAGTATCATTCATGATGCTCAGAATGGCTGGCAGGCAGTGGGACACATGGTGCTCTTACACTGTGACCCAAGTCTGAGAGCTCATCTGGGGTACTTACTACCAAGTGGGGAGCCGGCAGCCAGTGCCATAATGACCAGTCCACATGTAGCTGTCCAGCTCTTACCTGCATCATGCTTAAAATCAGCCCAGTCCACGAGGAAGAAGACTCACTGGAAGAGATGCTTCCCTTCCCCCGCAGGGGCCCAAAGTAACTTCCTGCCCCACTAGCACAGTCATTTATTTGTACATAAACCTGACTGGAAGCAAAGAAATGAAGAACCTGACCAGGTCTGGAGGGCAGTGTGCTTCCCAGGACCTGTATGTGACCTGGACAATGCCTGTGCCTTAGGACTTGGCCAGGGACACATTCAACATCCTTGGCTTTGTCAGGTCCTTGCTGATAAAGTGACCTCAAAGGGCTCCAGCACCTTCCACCTATGGTACTGGGGTAACTCACCGCTGCTGGGCTGCTGGTTATCATCAGGGGAAAGAATGAGGGGCAGACCTCTGCCCCCACAGACTCGGCAGGATACAAATGAGACCACTGGTGTGTGGGAAGAGAGTTTGGTGAGTAGAGGGCACAAGAAAAGTCTGACAGGAGACAGGCAGGAACACACAAGGAAGCAGAGCACAGGGGGCCTCTGAGAAGTGACTGCCACCTTGGGGCAGGCCTCCACAGCCCCGGGCCCAGTCTCACTCGGCCATGCACCCACAGCACTGCAGCCGCCCTGCGGTGGCACCCCAAAGACAACACCCCCTCCACCAGATAGAGCCTCACGACTGCAGACTAAGCTGCTTCTCCAGCCCCCTCCCCATAGCAGGAGATGGGTAGAGGTGTGTAGGGCAAGGACACAGCTGGAGACCGCATCATGATACAAATGATAAATTATATTTATACAGTAAATAAGTATCAACAGTCAACACAAGTTCAAAAGCAGCCACTGGCCCCTGGGACTGAGGCATAGCTGGTGACTTCTTTCACCATGGTACTTATCAGGAGGGGCACGGTGGCATGTATATCACGCGTGGCAGTGGCCGGTGGCTTCATGATCAGTGCAGTGGATAACAGGGACAGCGTGTGGGCTTCGGTCCCATCAGGAAGGGCTCTTGCTGCTACAGGACAATCACTGGACCCAGGCAGTGTTTCTGGAGTGTTGGCCTGTGGCCCAGGCCCCACATGTTTTGGGGAAGCACCGTCCTGGGCAGGCATATCTACCTTCCCCTAGGCAGAGGAGCCCAGCCACCAACCTTCCTGAATGGCATGGGAGCCACAGCCCAGGCCTAGGCCCTGGAAGGAGTGGCTGGTAAGGAACTTGGCCTGAGCAGCCAGAGGGGCCTCCTGTAGCCCTGAGACCACTCCGGAGCCCCTCCTGTGTGGTGCTGAGGATCGGATCTTCTGAACCAGAGAGGGGCTGGTAGGAGGGCCTGCTGCCCTTGGAGCTGGAGGTGAGAAGTCCGCATTGCAAGGTGAGCTAGGAATGCTCACCAGACAAGCGGCAGGACACAGCATTGAGGGCTTGTCCCTTCCCTGGGGAGAACAAGTAAGTCTCTGCTGTGTAATTTGGGACATAACACTGTAGTACAGTAGTGGGAAGGGTGAGGACAGCAGGAGGTCGGGACAGGGAAATAATCTTAGTGCATGTTTGTTAAAAATCCATCCCAAGCGAGAATGGACGTTTTCTGTCTCCCAATTAAGAGATGATTAGTTCTCAGCAGCCTAGGTCTGGAGCTGCCAAGTAAGACAGAATAGGGCCAGCCTTGGTCCCCTCACCTGTCTAGACGTGGGGACTACCCTCCCAGGGACTGTGGGCAAAGACTCCCCGCCATTTCCACACAATCCCCCCCAGTAACCTGAGCGTGGACAGAGCCAAGGAGCTAGGAGAGCCAGGGAGTGAAGCCACAGCACTCATGGTCTCCCCACTTCCCATCCACTGTAAACAGAAGTCCCTGTTGATCCCTGCGGGCCCCACTAAAAGGGAATTAGTTGACAAAAACTATAGAGTCACATTCATATGTTAGATTTTTTTTTTTCCTTTAACTTTCAGGATGTTGGTATATTGGTAAGAAAAAAGCTTCTCTTGGGGTCTAGCCCAAAAGACTGAGAGTCATTTGGTTTGGTAATTCTCCAAAAACAGGGAGCCAGAGAGAGGAAAGGCAACTGGAGGCTGAGTTCTTGTTGCTGTTGGAATTGTGTGTTTAAATATCGTTTTCATGTAATCAAATTCTCATATTTTTTCCTATAAAGAATTTGCTTTAGTTTTTCCATAAGGCATATTTTTGTCATCCAAACATCTCTCCTTTTTAAAATTTTCTTAAGAATTAGACCATAAATAAGAGAATTTAGACCACTAAAATGACATGTGCCAAGATCTTAATTCAGCCAGACCTGGTAAATTCTATCAAAACTAGACAGTTAAATAAGAACCACGTTATAAAAATATTAGCCAAAAAAAGACTATTAGATAATTCTGCAAACTCAAATATGAAACTGTACTAAACAAAATATGTGCAAACGTGTACAAGCATAGAGCCACGTGGCAGGGTTATGCTCAGATTAGTTTTAAAGCTCGCTCTAGTGGGTTTAATTTGAGTTGTCCACGGTGGTAGTGTACTCTGAACTCACAGGAGTCAAAAGAAGTAAAGAGACTCACAGCCACTTCCCCGAAGGTCAGTGTCCAGTGGGCCTGTGTGTCTTCCCATCCACACCCAGGGCTGCCAGCGGGGTCCCCAGGGCTGTGGTGGGGGCAAAGACGAGTGGTGACTATCCCAAGTCCTGGGCTAGGCAGCGTCTCAAGGACCCTTGGGCTGAGGCTGGGGCGAGGGCAACACTGGCGACTGGGCCTCCTGGTCCAAGGTCTCAGAGGAGCCGGGTTGGAGCTGAGCGCTGGGAGGAGCAGAGGGGCCTGCCTGGGGGGCCCCCCCATGTGCCGCTCAGGCTAGGAGGGTCTTGGCTATAACAACCCTTTCACCAGGAAGCTGGAAATAAAAAGCCCCACCCCCACCCACCCACCACACTCTCAGCCATCACCCCCAACAAATTAGAGTCCCCTGCCCAGAGTCCTCCGGAACGGTGCTCCCAGGGGTGCTCCAAGCACTTGCTCTGGGCAGGTCCTGGGTCCCAGCACTAGAGAAGGAAAGGGTTGGTTGTGCTGGAAGCCTGAGCTGCCGAAGGGGGGATGCCCACGCTGCTCACCATGTTCATTGTTGTGGGGCCCAGTGGTGTCAAAGAGGAGCCCCCAGCCCCCAGAGCTGAGTGTGGGGCCACTGAGGTCATGGAGGCCACAACCATGGGCTCCACCCCTGGACCAGAACCAAAGGATGTGCTGCTCCCCAGGACAGGGCTCCCCCGCAGCTGGTTAAGCGTCAGTGGCTGGGGCTGGTTCACCTGGAAGGGGTTGACGGGAGCCGGGGCCGCAGCACCTGGGGAAAGAGTGGTGGGGAGAGGCTGAGCTGGTGGGAAGGCACTGGCCCCTCCAGGCAAGGTTCAAGCACCTCTAACACCAATGTGCACCCAATTCCTCAGCCCAGGTCAGGACTGTGTCCTATTGCACCTCTCAGGTTCATAGGAGACATTGGCTAATGGCTACTGACCACATGGACACCCCCTCCCTCACCCCACCCCACCCTCAACGCTGGTGGAGGTGGGAGTGGGCAGAGAGGAGCACACAACTTGTCCAGGGACACAGAGCTAAGAATATAGCAATATCAAGAACATGCCAGGCCTGGGGACCCCCCGCCCCTCTCTAGAGCTGGTGCCCAGGCTGTCAGCAGCAGCAAGGCAGGAAGACCAGAAGGTTCTGTAACAACAGTGCCTATGTGCCACCCTGTGACCCACATACAGACACCATGAAAGCTTGGGAAGCTGATCAGCCCTGTCTCCTTGGTACCATCATACTCCCCACACATACTAGGAAGCCTCTTTCATGTGTTGGCAAAACAGCTAGAAGTCAGAAGACATGGCACTGTTGGCGGCTATGTCTCCAACCTGTCCTCTTCTCTCACCCTACTGTTGCCAGATGTCATGCCTGACCAGGGACAGCTCCGGTCACCTCTGGAGATGAGGTGTGTGTGTAGGCGGGGGGGTGGGGGGTGGGGGGTGGGATCCTCCTTCCAGGGTCTGTCACAGGGCCTACAGTCTCCCATTAGGAAGGGACAGAAATGAAGCTCTGTTCTTTGCAATTCCAAAAATGATAGCCCATGACCTCCTGTGCAACCACTTAGCTCCAGCCCTGGGCTCCAGAAGGCCTGCCCAAACCCACTCCATTTTGGTTTGCCAACAAATCTGTCCCATCACAGTGCCACAGAGAGCTGGAGCTGCCATGTGGCCCTGGCTGAGGGGGCAAGAAAGTTCTGGGCCACATCAGGACCTCAAGGCAGGCTGGAACTCAGGAGCTCCAAGTCCAGTCTTTTGCCTGAGTGCTCCAACCATCCTTCTAAGACGCCCAGTGGTTGCTGTTCCTGCCAGGCTGTACGGGCACAGCCCTGGGCTCCCTTGTGGATCCCTTGTGGTTCGGGGCTAGGTCAGAGCTGACACCTTTTAGGGGAAACATTCCTGCCCTTACGAAGGAAGGACTTCTAGAGGGGGCCATCTCCTAAGCCGGGGTGTGGGAAGGAAAGGAAAAGGATGTTCCAGAGGAGCCGAAGGGGGTCAGAGCCTAGAGGTCAAGAAGCATCCTCATGTCGAGGACCATCCCAGAGCTCTGTGTAGTGATGGGTGTGAAGCTCATGGGAAGAAGAGAGAACCAGGCTATAATGGCCCCGGACCCTGGGCCAAGCCACTAAGGGGCTGTCCTATAGCAATGTGGTCTGTCATCCCCAGAGGACCACTCATGCTGAAGAGCCCAGATACAAAGGTTCCCTGATACTGGCTCTTCCTCATCTAGCATCCTGCCCACCTCCACATACACCCAGCCTACCCAGCCTTCTGCCAGGGCTAGGGTGAGCCACGGCAGCTTCTGCTCATTGCTCTCAATTTTTCTGCCCACATCCTTTCCCTTTACACAGCAGCTTCATGTCCACCCACACAGCCCCAGAGAAGTACAGCATTCCTGATGGCTCCACTCCTTCCCAGCCGCAGGCCACACAGCTGGGGCACACAAGGAAGGGCCCCAAGAAGTGAGAGTCAGGGCCAGCATCTGGCTACACAGTCAGAGAAAGCTCAGACCTGTGCCTACCTGGTGCCAGGAAGGGGTTGAGGGACTGTGCCGGCGGGGTGGGCCTTGTCACCAGTGAGTCCAGGTTCACCAGGGCTGCATTGGGGCCTAGGAAGGACTCAGGAGTTTTCCGGGCACTGCTGGGCTTGCTTGAGGCAACAGTCAGAGGCTGAGACTCAAAGGGGTCAGGGCTTGTGGTTCCATTGTTCTGGGATGGCATAGAGGCCCCAGACTCAGCTGCAAGACAAGGACAAAGCACAGTGAGCAGGGGGCAGGGCCTGCGACCATGCGCCAAATGCTGCCCACCCCATCAACGTATCAGCCACTCCTGATGCTGCAGCTGTGACGCGCAAGACCACGTGTGCCCTGCAGTGCCCTTCCCCATTTCCCGGAATGGAGACACATAGTCTTTCATGGGCACCCACATAACCAACCAGCAAAATGCAGGGACAGAAAAACACTGAATGACGGGCAAAGAAAATTATCCAAAGAGTACTGTTTAGCACAACTGTGCAAAATATCAAGATGCTATCTGGGGTTGGTGGCAAAGCATGGATAATTATTTTTTTACACATCATTTTACATGTGAATTTTCCAAATTTTCTACAATGACTATGAATTTCTTAATAATACGAGGAAAGCAAATTGTTTAAAATTCAGCCAGTAGGTGTCCCGACAGGCTGGCGGGCATGAGATGGCTCGGCTGGGATGCACACGGCTTTGTTTAGGATCTCTGACAGTGTCCTACATCTAGGAACCCAGGCCCAGAAAATCATGTAAAATGTGAACTTAGAGTTGATTATAAAGATGTCACCACAGCATTATTTGTTGGAGCAAAACTTGAAACCAACCTAAATTGTTCTTCCCCAAAGTGATGATTAAGCTATTGTTGAACCACAGAGTTAACTATGGCTGCAAAAATATAAACATATGCTTTGGTACTGGGGTTTAAACTCAGAGACTCACACTTCTAGACGGCTGCTCTACTGCTGAGCTATGGTTCGAACCCTTTTCATACTCATTTTTGCGACATGGTCTCACTTCCAGGTATGTGCCTCGACTGCAATCTTCCTATTTATGCTTCCCAAGAAAGTAAGATGACAAGCTATTGATCAAGAAGGAGTCTCACAAACTTGTTGGGGGTCCTGGCCTAGCCTCAAACTGTAATCTTATTTCAGCCTTCTAAATAGCTAGGATTCTAGGAATGAGCCGAGACCCTGATGCCCCATCCAAATTGTTTTTCTAATCATCAAAACCATAATTTGTTCTTGCCTAAAAATCAGGATGGGGACAGGACTGGGCTGTGACAGGGACAGAGGGACAAGTTAAACAAAAAAAGACTGCTAAGAGTTCAGAAAAAGACAACGGAAAGCCACACAGGGCCAGGTGCAGGTGGAAGGATTACAGATAATATTCATTTTCTTTCATAAACATTTCTAAATGTTCTAAAATGGGACTACTTGTACAACTGGGAATATTTTATTAAAGTCAACCTGTCACCACGGCCAAGCTTGTTCTCAGAGGTGGACACAGGGACAAACACGACACAGGACAGGTCAGGCTGAGCTTGGTCCTGCAGACTTGTGGGATATTGCATCACTTTTTTTTTTTTTTGGGGGGGGGGGTCCGGTCGTGGGGCCTGAACTCTGGGTCTGGGCGCTGTCCCTCAGCTCTTCAGCTCAAGGCTAGCACTCTACCACTGGAGCCACAGCGCCACCTCCGGCTTTTTTCTTTTTGCTTATGTGGTGCTGAGGAATGGAACCCAGGGCCTCAGGCATGCAAGGCGAGCGCTCTACCACTGAGCTACCTTCCCAGCCCCACGGCGTCACTTTAATGTAGCCACAGACAGACCCTGAAAAGCTGCCTCTGTTTCTCCTGGCTGGGTGTCCTTGAGCTGAGGGGATGGGACCAGATGTGCTAGATTTCTTGGACCTTAGACCAGGGCCCCGCCAGGCCTGTAGCTGCAGCTGTAAGAGGGGAGCAGAGGGGGCCACTAAATGAAAAGGGAGAAGTGCAGGAGGGAAGAAGGAGGTGGGAAATGAGGGCAAGGGCTAGAGCTGGGGAGAAGAGAAAGGAGGGAAGTAGCTATGTGTGGTTGAGAGGTGAAGCCGTGATAGAGGTTACCTGGCTATCCCCGTTGCACACAGTGATGTGCACCCCACCCTCCTAGACCTCTTCTTTTGCTCTTATCAAGCTCACCTTTACTCCTAGGCCCCTGCTCTTTGTACCTTCCACGTCCTCCCTAACCAAGGGACCAGGGAAGGAAGCAGGCTCTGGACTAGACCCGGGTTTCCTGGGCAGGGATATGGAGACATGGCCACATAGGAAGGGCTAAGAGAGTGGCCATGCACGCCCAGAGGCAGGGGTCTGGAGAGAGAAGAATCTCTGGGGAGTGGGGAGTGGGAGACAGATGGAGACTGGACAGGATGGATCAGACCTGAGGTGGGCTCTACCCAGAGCAGGGAAGCCAGGGGTAAGCAGTAGCTAACCTGGAGGCACAGCCCCAAGACAGAACACTGGCTCAATACAAGGAAAAGGCAAAAGAAAAACTCGACCTTGACTTGTGTGACTTCACACTGGAAGTGTGTGAGTTCAATACAAAGAGGGTGCATGAAACTGGGCTCCCCACGCATCACTCTAAAGCCACTGCCCCCGTGGAGACCCCCTTCACCTACCTGGTTTATTTGAAGTCCGCAGGTTGTCAAATTCAGAAAAGTCATCTTTAACTGTACCATTGAAATTACTGAAGAGCTCGAAGGACCCTGTGGGGACAAAGAGGCGGTGACGGAGGGCGAATCGTAACTCTGCACGGCGTTTGTTCAGTCTACATCCTGCGGGGTCAGGCTGGGGCTCTCTCTCAGTACCTCACCTCAGGTTGAACCAAGTCTCAGCGACAGGCTGGGAATGTGGCTCAGTGGTAGAGTGCTTGCGTTGCATGCATGAAGCCCTGAACTCGATTCCTCAAGTACCACATACACAGAAAAAGCTAGAAGTGGAGCTTCTGGCACTTCCAGAAGTGGTAGAATGCTAGCTTTAAGCAAAAAAAGGCTCAGGGACAGTGCTTAGGCACTAGGACTGGCACCCCCCCCCAAAAAAAAAAGTCTCAGGGGCAAAGGAGACTGCCAGGATGGACTCGGGCCTCCTGGTAGGCTGGAAAGGGAAGGAGCAGGGAGCCTGACCATTAGCTCCTGACTGCTCTACCATCCCACCCAAAACACGAGGGGCCAGTGATGAGGCAGGCACATCTGAGCTAGCTGGATGCCGCATGCTGGGTGAGAGTGTGTGGGAGCGACCCGAGTGGGTGCCAGAGCCAGCACCAGCCCTGGGTGAGGACAGAACCCGTGGCAGAGGCCCCGTGCAACTCCCCTTTCCCTCACCCCCTCAGGAAGCCCCTGGGGAGGGTACAGGTACACCCAGGGACTTGGGAATGCCCAGTCTCAACAAGTACTCAGGATCTGGGGACAGAGCCAAAGGCTGCTAAGCGGGAGGAGGTGAACACAGCCCACAGACTGCTGCCAGGCACAGGGAGAAGTTGCTGGCAGGAACCTGCGGGGCCAGAGGGAGAGAGGTGCTCACCCGAGGCCGAGCTGGGCTTGGCAGCGGAGGCTGCGCCCCAGGCGTCTGTTGTCTTCCCAGCACTGGGGGCAGGCGGCTGCGACGCTGCCCAGGGATCTGAGCTCTTGGGGACAGACTGTGTACTGGCTGTGGTGGGTACTCCCCAGGGGTCCACAGAGGCAGCTGGCTTGGGACCTGTAGCAAGATGGAATCAGACCTAGATTACTTCAGAAAGGTCTCAGCAGCTGGAAGGAGAGGGAAAAGTCACTGGGGGCCCAATGGGGTTTTGTGCTCTGTGCCACACCCAGCCTGGACAGAGCTGGAGCCCAAGGCTACCCCCTGGGGAGTGTGCCAGGCCAGGATGACTGGGAACGCCCCACTGGGAAGCACCAGAGGACACAGCTGAGACCCTGCAGGTATGCCCTGTCCCACAAGGGGCTTGCAAGGGGTTCTCTAAGCCAAAATAGATTATGGTCTGGAGGCATGGCTTACATGGTGGATCTCCTATTAAGTGCAAAGCCCTGAATTGAAACCCCTGTAGGAGGGTGGTGGGGGTTGTCTTTGCTGGGTTATAGGAATTCCCAGTCATTACTAGTTTGCAAGGAATGGCTGGTGAATGTTAAGCTTTCTGTTCATATCAAGGTAATCTCTTCTAATCTGCTAATGTTGCACATCACTAGGCTTTCTGATGACTTGTCTCTTAACAATAAAGTTCTTCATGAGATGCTTTATCTTCTTTTATGTTTTCCTATTCTTTTTGCATCACTATACATAGATATATTCACCCACTGGCCCACGTGGTGGCTAGTCTCCCAGTGGGCTCCCTGTCTGGCTTGGTGCCATGGTTCCATTAATCTCAGAAATGAGTAGGAATGGTGGAAATGTGGCTTAGTGGTAGAGTGCTTGCCTAGCACATATGAAACCCTGGGTTCCTTTTTTTTTTTTGTCGGTCATGGGGCTTAAACTGGGCTTGGGCGCTGTCCCTCAGTTCTTCAGCTCAAGGTGAGCGCTCAACCACTTAAGCCACAGCGCCACCTCCGGTTTTCTAGTGGTTTATTGGACATAAGAATCTCATGGACTTTCCTGCCTGGGCTGGCTTTGAACCGTGATCCTCAGATCTCAGCCTCCTGAGTAGCTAGGATTACAGGCGTGAGCCACCGGCGCCCAACTGGGTTCCATACTTTAGTACCACATAAACAGAAAAACCTGGCTCAAGTGGTAGAGTACTAGCCTTGAGCAACAGCAGCTCAGAGACAGTGCCCAGGCCTGGAGTTCAAGCCTCAAGACTGGTGAGAGAGAGAGGGAGAGAGAGGGAGGGAGAGGGAGAGAGAGAGAGAGAGAGAGAGAGAGAGAGAGAGAGAGAGAGAGAAGGAAAATGCATCCTGTGTGACCCTAAACTTTCGACATTTGTTTTGCTGAGGTTGGCTTTTGTGTGTCAAGCACAGAATTGTTTTAAGTAGTCTGCCATAGATTTTAAGTGTCTTTTCCGCCTGCAGGGAACAACACATTCATCAGCTTGTCCTCTCTGTTCTGTCCTGAGGCCCGTGCTCCGCTTCCTCGACTCTCAGCACTTCCTGGTGTCCTGTGTGGCAGGTGCACTGACAACGTCTCAATTCCTGTCCTAGCGCAAAGGTGCCAGCACTTCACCTTTGTGCTGAGAAACATCGTCACTGAATACACAGTTCTGGACTTTTGATGACTGTTTTGTGGTTGCTTCAGTACATAAAATACCTTTTTTCTGTTCCTCCTTGTAAGAGAGATGCTTTTACTAGGAACAGCCGTCTAGGGGGACAGTGATTTTCCTTGGGCACACTACAGATGCTTTTCACTGCACTCTGCACTGCTGTGCATCTGCTGTCAGCCTCACTGTGCTCCTTCCTATGGACACCTGCATGGTACAATACTTGGCTGTGCTCTTTCCCTGGTGTTCTCTAGCTTCCTGAGGCTGAGAGCGGGTGGGAACCCACCAGGCTTCCAGGACCTGAGCAGTACTTGGCACCTGTCCAGAATTCTTGAACACCATTAGCTATTACCTTCCCAAACACCAACTCTCCGAAGAGATGCAAGCTTGGCCCATCAGCTCCCCAAACACCCTGCCTGCCTGCTGCTGGGCCACTCAGCCCTCATCTTCTACCTCTCGTTCCTGTGTGGATTCGCCAACTCTGGATCCTCTCTTCACCATCTTTACACTCACACCGTACCAAAGCTACGCATTAACCACAGGTCTCCCCTAGACTGAAATCCTAAGCCTGTTCCTGGACATGAGGGACATCTAGTGAGCCTGCAACCACCTGGCTAAGGCCAAAGCTCAGAAAAAGGCCAGAGGAGGTGGCAGGAACTTGCCAATCTTAGAGAGGACCAGGGAGTACTGCCCTGAGCTCAGAGCACATTCAGCCTGAGCCCTGTCCCTCCATGTGGCTTCTTCACAGCCCTTAGCCACCCTCCTGGGTGGAAGGCGATTGCTTGGTTTCCATGAAGATGGACTCGCTGGCTTCCTGCCTCAGAGGCTCTGAAATGCCAAAGGGCCTCCACTAGGCCTATGAAGCCACCCGAGCCACTGTCCCAACTGCCCCTCTGTTTGGTAGACCAAGCACCATTGGCAGATGCCCCAGGAGAGAAGGGCATGCCTGGCTCCTGCCTAGGCATGTTGTGGTATGTACCTGTGAGCTGTGAGCTAGATCCGACCAGGCAGGTGCTAATCCTAAGCTACATCCCCAGCACTCTGTGGACAGTTTTCATGCCTGGAGACTCCTATCTGGACTTACATTTTCTGCTGCTGCCCCAGCCACTCCATTAGGTATTCCAGAAAAATCCATCTCCCTCTAGAAGCTTTTCTGACCCCTCACCCTGGATGTCCCACCATCCTTCAAGAAACTAAACTCAGCCCTTGCTCTGCTGTCAGCAGAGGACACCTCACCAGGGTCTTGCTCTGACCTGACCAAGGGCAAGTAGCATGGTAAAATGGATCATCAAGAAGCGAGCAAAGTACTTATCACCTGACTGTATTTATCACCTGACATAGGTAAAGGTAGCCCCACTGTACATCACTCTAAACAAAAACAAACAAACTTAAGCTAGGTGGCTCACGCCTGTAATCCTAGCTACTCTGAAGGCTGAGATTTGAGGCTCGCAGTTCAAAGCCAGCCCGGGCAGGAAAGCCCATGAGACTCTTACCTCCAATAAATCACTCAGAAAATGGGAAGCCTTAAGCTGAAGAGCTGAGGGACAGCACCCAGGCCCAGAGTTCAAGCCCCACAACTAAAAACCCAACAAACAAAAAAGAAACAAGCAGAAGCAGGATATGATGTACCAGAGAGGTCAGGAAAGCTGGGGACCCAGTGCTCTGTAGGAGTCAGGGGCGTGAATACACGTTCCCTGGCTGCTCCTGCTCACCAGCAGCCCACAGGAAGGGTACGGTGTGTACAAAGCCCGCATGCCCTTGGCTGGCTGTGCCATACCTCCAATTAACAGGTGTTTCCCAGGCAAAGGCGACACAATGGCAAGCTTGGGCAACTGAGAGCCTCAGGCTGCCTCACCATCAAGTCTGGGACATTCTTTGGCTACACACACCAGGCCTAGGTACCTGGGGCTTTGCCTTCCTTGCCTCAGCTGCTTAGCACAGGTTGTGTGTTCCAGCTGGACACATTCTTGGACAAGGATATTCTAAATAGTTTACCCTCAAACTCAGAAGCTTATGATGCTGTTTTTTTGGGTGTTTTTTTTTTGTGTGTTTTGTTTTGGTCAGTCATGGGACTTGAATTCAGGGACTGGGTGCTGTCCCTGAGCTTTTCTGCTCAAGGCTAGTACTCTACCACTTTGAGCCACAGCTACATTTCTAACTTTTAGGTGACTAGAGATAAGAGTCTCAAGGACTTCCCAGCCTAAGCTGACTTCAAACCAAGATCCTTAGACCTCAAGCCTCTTGAGCAGCTAGGATTATAGGTGTGAGCCACCATTGCCAGCTGAACACTTTAACTCTTAAAAACATAAGCTTATTGATGGCTCATGCCTGTAATCCTAGCTATTCAGGAGGCTGAAATCCGAGGACCATGGTTCAAAGCCAGCCCAGGCAAGAAAGTCCGTGAGACTGTTATCTCCCATAAACCACCAGAAAACCAGAAGAAGCACTGTGTCTCAAGTGGTAGAGCTGAAGAGCTAAGGGACAGCGCCAGGCCCAGAGTTCAAGCCCTGCAAACGACCTCCCCCCCCCCAAAAAAAATGGTGGAAGTGATGCTGTGGCTCAAGTGATAGAGCTCTAGCCTTGACCCAAAGAAGCTCAGGGACAGCACCCAGGGCTCAGAGTTTAAGCCCCAGAACCCGGGGGGTGGGGGGGAGGGGAGTTGGTGTTTCAAAGCTGGGATGTGGCACAGCACTTCCCTAGTAGTGTAAAGTGCTGAGTTCAAACTGCTATGCTGCAAAAATAAAAGTGTTTGGACCTTTCTGGAAGCACTCTTTCCATGGTGAATACAACAGCAGCATCGACCACAGGGAGGGCAGCGCTCTGTCCTCGGGTCGGTCAGCAGCAGGCAGAGCCTGTGGGTCAAGGCTGGTCCCAGCACTTTGGATATGTGATGAAATATGGCTTTCAGTGCACAGCCTGGCCGCCCCAAATCACCCACACCACCAAGAACAGACTACCTAGCCTGGGCAAGCTCTGTCAGGTTTCTACTCTGCAAGCTACTGGGCCAAATTTAGATTGTTCCAGATGAGCATGGCTCCATGAACACAGGTAGGCAGTCCTGTGGCTGGCATGGCTTTCTTCCAACATGGCCCCTATTCCCACGGTGGGAAAGCAGAGGGCTCAGGCCAGGGCCCAGCTGCGCTCAGGGATTCCTGCTGGCACACTGGCTCCCTCAGCAGTGGAGATGCTACAAGGCCCCACTGTGCCCTCAGCCACGACACACACCCGATAAATAAATGCTTGTTGAAAACCAAGTGAGCGAGAGGAAAGGAGGATGGGATAAAGGTTGGAAAGACAAGCAGCTTCCGGCCTCCAACTCTGTGGGACCATTCACAGGGAGCATGTGTCCACTAGCCCAGAGCAGACCCATGAATATGGATGGGCACAGCAGGCAGTCCACAGCCAGGAAGGGGTCATCAAGAAGCCAGGAGCACACCTGCTACTGCTGGGCAGAAAACCCACTCCATCCTAGCCAGGGTGGAGGATGGGCCAGGAGGGGCAAGGCGGCCAAGGCCTTCTGAATCGTGGGGCTGTGCAGCCTCCTCAGACCAGGTGGCTGCTTTGTGTGTATGTGTGTGTGTGGGGGGGGGGGGGGGCAGCGCAGGAAGTGCCCTGCTGACCTGGCAGGCTCCGTCTCCCTCCTCTCAGCCTTGAGCACTTCCTCCCAAGGCCACTTGGCCCAGCAGCCCCCAGTGGTAATGGCAGGGCCACGACAAATGGTGGCTTTCAAAGAAATGTTTCTTCCTTCCGGGAGGGGGGGAGGGAGTGGTGGCACAGCTCACAGTGCATGGGAAGAGGCTCTAATCATTTTAATTTATGAACTTGTCTGGGGAGTGGCCCTGAAACTGCATTGCTGGGTTTCACCAGAGGCTGAGCAGTAAACCCCGTACCGTACCATACCCTGCTGGCAGCTGCTCACTCCTGCGGTGGTCAGCCCTGCAGAGGGACTGCCCGAGAGCATGGAGGATCCCAGCACCTCTCCCCACTGAAGGCAGGAACCAGGGCTGCAGGGCTACTCTGTGGAAGGGCTACTGAGGAAATGGCAGCATTGCCACATGTGGTGCAGCCCCACCCCCCAGGGAGACTCCCCAGCTGCGCCTCAAGGGTCCAGCCCAGTCCACCAGCCAATGGTAGGGCTGGGAAGAACTTGCTATTTCTGTCTGACAGGTAAAAGATTCCCCCTATACATGGTAGAGGTAATGTGTGGAAGCTAAGGCTCCCTCCCACCACCCAGACCACACTGCCGCCCTTAAACTCACAGCTGTCTTGCCACATGTGGCCCCGGTACCTGGCTCTGCCAGGGCCTGAGAGCAGATTTTCCAGAGAAAATGTCATGCATGGCTGTGGCCACTGAGGGAGATGTGCTACTGGGGTTTGAACTCAGGGCCTTGCATTTGCTAGGCAGGTGCTCTGCCACTTGAGCTATGTCCCCCAGATCACATGGCTACAGCTTGACAGAGGAATCATGTTTCAGACTTGAAACTGAAGTCACAGCCACTGCCTGTCTCCAAATGACCTGCTTCAAACGGTCTTCATGTGTACTCAGCACAACCACAATCAGCATAACCTCCCTCAGGCCGTGGTACATATAGGGGGGCCAACATGGAAACAACCTTGGAATTGGTCTTTAATGAGTGAGAACTCTGGACAATTCTGCCTGCCACATAAGGCGAGGGACTCTGCAGGGCATCGAAGTGCATCTAGGGCTTCACAGAGCCTTCTGGACCAAGTCTGAGCACTTGGAAGGCTAACGTCAGGCTCTGAGTAGACTCTACACACCCCTTTTCTCTCCCCTCCCACCAATTTCTGCTGCTACCCATGCCCTCACACCTTCCAGCCCCTCACAAAAGCTTTGACTACATGACACTGCTAGGTCTCCTTCCCTATCTGCACCTGACCAAGCCAAGGCTGAAGGGCTGGAACTATTACCTGTTTATCCCAAGGTCCTCACATGGCAGGCCAGAGCCTGGCACTTGGTACATTTTCAGAAACATGGAGGGAACTGAACTGAATACAAAGAAGGTTGGAGAAACAGGGACTCCAGGAGATACAAACAAAATGCAACAAGTCCTAGACAGAAAGCCCTGAGGTCAGCCACAGCCAGCAGGAATCAGATACCAAGAAGGGCCACCAAGATACCAGGCCAAGAAGCCCTGACAAAGCCTTGCCCCATGCCCAGCAACTAAGAAACTCATATGCCAGAAACATCACCCAGAGCACACCGAGTCTGTCATGATTCAAATCTCCAACCAGAATTTCTCTTACATTTGGTATGAAGTAAAAACCAAGAAATATTCATTTACTCTTACCAAATTAACTTAGTCTTGCTTTGCTTTAAATAACAAGAATTACAGCAAATGTATGCCCTTCTCATTAGCAGTATGTAAGTACATCATTTCCAGCTTATTATAGCAAATTGACTTAGATACTCTACACTGGGTACAAGCCTGAAAGAGCTGAAATGTGCCCCATAGCAGGGACACGCCATTTCTGATGCATAGGGAGGAGACAGGAAGCGGACGTGCCTTCTACCAAAGCAGAAAACCATTCAAAATAGAAAGAGAATGTTGTGCCTCAGTCCCCAAGGAGGTGGATGAGTGTCCGCTGGGTGTTATTGGTGAGGACCGGATGAAACTAGGCCTCCCCAACAAACACCGAGCTGAGAGAGCACGAAGCCCTGCCCTGCCCCAACACCCACCCAACATGCAAGCACAGGGCCCCAAGGGAGTCTTTACCAAATGATGGCCAAGGGTCCGAAGTGCTTGTGGGAGCTGCTGACCCACCCCATGGGTTGGTCTGTTTAGCAGATGCCCCTGGGCCCCAGGGCTCGGCTTTCTGGGCAGAAGGGCCTGAGCTAGGAAGAGCATCCATTAAATCCAGCAGGGTGGTCTGCTGTGGGTGGGAGCCAAGCTGTTAAGACAAAGAAAAGGGATAGTTTCAGTTTGTTAAGAGGCACAGCAAATACCATGCAGTAACTAACCTCTTAAAGGTCTTTGAGGAGGGGTCGTAAAGGGATTTGGGGTTGAGCTATCCTGTCCCCAGTCTCATCCTCACAGTTCTACCAACGGTCCCACACCTCGTAGACCCCACAGCCTCTAGAGTCCTTAGAGCTGCCAAACTCTTTTAGGATAATGTTGGCCTTTACCTGACCTATGAGATGCGCTTGCTCCAGAACACCAGCCTCCTGCAACCCCTTGGCTCTCCAGCTGCCAGCGACTACCCAATGCCGAGTGTAAGGGCCTGTGCCCTGTGGACCTGGGACATCTAAATAGGGGAGGCCACCAGAGCCATGGACTCTGCTGGGAAGCAGGGGTCCCCCATCTCCTGACAGGGTGTCCCTGAGTTTGTCAGGGCCAAAGCTGTATTCTGTCTTCTCTATGTCAAAGTGGGGTGCTTGGCAGAGTAGGACGGTGTGCACGATGGAGACCAGCACCCCAGAGGCTTGCGCTGACACAGGAAATGATCCCTCAGCACTGCCTTTTAGCTTAATTAATGGCTGCCATCATCCCATAACCCTCACTTTACAGATGAAGGGATAAGACACAGGGACACGCCAGTGTTTGCTGTTGGTTTAGATGTGCTCCACTCCTGACCACCACAGGCGTGCAGCCGATGGCTGAGGGGTGAGCCTACTGAGAGATCTTATTTGGGGTTGGGGAAGCTCTGGTGGCAACAACCACAGGGCAGCCTTCAACACTTCCCTTCCAACAAACTCATACCTCTTTCTTTTTGGGAACTTTAACTGTGTCTCTCCGGCTTTCTTCCAGGGCCATCTGCAATCTGAGGTCATCACCCCGCCTGAGGCGCTCTTCCTGTGGAGGGACAATGCGAGCTGGAGGCTGAGGGTAATGGTAACAACATCACAGCAGGACACAAAGCCGTGCTGGCCAGCAACAGGAAATGCACACTAGCATGCCATATTTCAAAGGAGGACTTCAAACCCTCGGAAACAGTGACTTTCCAATCCCCAGGGTGTTTTGAGACAGACCCTCCCTTGTGGTGCTGCCTGTAACTCCAACCCCTGGGGTCGTGCAGGGAGACCCACTCAGGCACCACTGAACTGGGGAAAGAGACTGCTTCATCGAAAACAGTTCCCCTCCCCCTCCCCCCCCCACAAAATAAACATGGCTTTATAATCCTTTCTATTTATAGAAGCAGTGTGTCTCCTTATAAAACATAAATCTGACAACTCAGGAAGCAATGAGACTGGAAATCTCAGCTCATTCTGCTTTCCACTGCGGATGCTCCCAGAAAATAACTAACTGGATAGTTGGTTCTATGATTCCTACCAGAAATGACTCATATTTATTTAAGGCACTCAAAAGACAGGGCTGCCCTCACTTTTATGTAATGATTAATTACAATCATTCCTTGTGCCTACTTCTTAAACTACTAAAAAGAGCTCCAGACATCTGCCTGCCGGGTGCTTCTCAGTGAACCCTTGCGCCAGCACCTGCCTCCCGGGCGTGACCACAGAGCCATGTACCTCAATGGACAGGCTTCAGAGCTGCATGCCCTCTGCTGTGCAGACAGAGGCCATAGCAGATGCTGTCACTGTCACTGAGCTTGAGGAAATTTCAGTTCCAGACATACCAACAATGCCAGACAAACCTCCCTGCCTTTCTCTCCGAATGTTTAACTTCTAAATTATAGAAAGCTGCCCAGTATCCGCTCTATCCACCCACTTGATGACTACAACCCAAGACATGACGATCTCTAAGACCCCTCCACCCTCATTTTAAAGCAATGCATGCTTATTCAAGAAAAACAGGCCGGTACCGGTAGCTCATGCCTGTAATCCTAGCTACTCAGAAGGCTGAGATCTGAGGATCACTCAAAGCCAGCCAGGGCAGGAAAGCCTGTGGAGACTCTCATCTCCAATAGCTGGAAGTGGACTGTGGCTCAACATGGTAGGGCTCTAGCCTTAAGACAAAATCTCAAGGACAGTCACTAGGTCCTGAGTTCAAGTCCCAGATGGCCCGAGTCCTTTGTTGTAAATATTTATAGTAAATTGCAAGGAATGTATCATAGTTAATCATTACACAAAAAGATTAGTTAAATGGCTTGCTGCAGAAGCACCTCTGGAAATCACCTGTTGACAGACTCTTCCCTTAGCAGTGACATTCCTAGAAATCTTTCCTTAATGTAACCTAGCTTGGGCTTCCTTCTGGGCTCAGACTAGGGGAGGTGGAGAAGAGAATACACTTGAGGCCACTGGAAGTGAACTCCGCAGGCACATCTGCATGTCACTGTCCTCCCTAGGACCCAAGCCCTGCACAACCCACAGCAATGCACATCCTCCCCTTAGGGACACTGACCTGCTCAGCCACTTCTCTGCTCATGGCAAGCGCCAGCTGCAGCTGCAGCTCCTCTTCTCCACTCGTCTGTGGCCGGGCCTGCTCCAGCTCAGAGGACACCCGTGGGGAGGTGGCTGCAGGAAGAAGACAAAGTCACTACATGCAAAGACAGGTGGTCTCTCTCATATTTATCAGTTCTCTGGTCAGACCATCCCATTCTCATCTCAAGCCCATGGGGCCCAGCTAGAGCCCAGTGGTACAGGCAGACAGGAATGAGCTAGAGATGCTCCAGGGTTAAACTCTAGTGCCAGTCAAACATGGCTTCACAACTACATGAGGCAAATAGGCCAACCCTTGGGTATGCAAACCCCAGCAGGCAGCTAGGCCTCAAGAGGACCAGAACTTCAGTCTTCTCTGCAGTGAGCAGTGAGATCACTGCTCCAAAGTGAGGGACCAACTCAAGAGTGCCAGGGCAGAGATTTGGAAGAGCTGCACCAAAAAAAAATATGCTTTAGCTGGGTGCAGAGCACCAGAGGCCGAGGACTCAGTCTGAGACACGAGAGTTGCACTTAGTGTGCTATAAGGATTGGGGAACATGAAGCCCATCCATTTCTGTAGGGACTCTGAAGTTTGGTTTTGTCACAGTGGACACAAGAATAGACATTTTGTTTTTTCTGTATTAGCTAACTTGAACACTTATAGGCAGCTCCGGGACAGTTTATTTTGCTTTTCCCTTAAGGATGATACAAATGCCTAGCTGGATGTAACAGACCCAAAATGAGGGAGTCTTTACATGCCAGGGCTCATAGAACCAAAGGCTGCTTGTGGATGAAGGGACTCTGGATGACTGCAATTAGCTGTCAAGTGTAGGGAGTACAAGTTAGTGTGCCATAGCTTCTCTAAAATCTTTAGGTCTTCCCTCAGATGGAAACCCTGCTTCAAGCCTTTGGGCTCCCCTGCAGCTCAGCTCACCACCACCTCCTGCTTCAGCATACACAGCTCAGCCTGCTGAGCTGGCCATCCAGGATAGCCCCATCCTCAGCTAGAGCAGACTCTCCCCTTCCTTCACTGCCTCACTATAGAAAGGTGGATGACAAGATGCACAGATGGTGGTCGATAGACAGATGGAGAATTCACAATCAGGTGTAGTTCACAATTCAGGTGTAGTTGTTTTCAAATATCCTAACCGTGTGTTAATTTGCTTTTTTCTTTCAAAACTACCAGAATATGCTCATCTAAATGCTGCTTTTGCATATCCAAGCTCAATTTGCTTCCTAGAATTTGCCTTCTTGGGATAAAGTAAAAGGTCTGAAAGCCAAAGGACTCCTGACAAAGAAAGGGCCCTGGCTATGGTGAACAAGACAGAAGAGGCCTGAATGCAATCTGGATCACAGCGGTGACAGAGCCACAGCTAACCAAGTAGAACGCTTGCCTAGCATAGGCAACTGCCTCATGTCTCCTCTCACTGGCATGGGAAGGTCAAAATAATAAATAAATCAGTCCAGGTGCTGGTGGCTCATGCCTGTAATCCTGGCTACTCCGAGGCTAAGATCTGAGGATCACAGTTCAAAGGCAGCCAGGCAGGAAAGTCTGTGAGACTCTTATCTCCAATTAACCACCAGAAAACCAGAAGTGGCGCTGTGGCTCAAGTGATAAAGCACTAGCCTTAAACTGAAGAGCTGAGGGACAGCTCCTAGACCCAGAGTTCAAGCCCCATGAACACCAACAACAACAACAAAAAAGTCGGAAGTGAGGCTATGGCTCAAGTGATAGAGCTCTAGCCTTGATCCAAAGCAGCTCAGGAAAGCGCCAGGCCCAGAGTTCAAGCACCATGACAATAAACAAAGCAAACAAATAAATGTTGTGATTATAAAACACATACAGATACTCCTTTAAAAAAAAAAAAAAAAAAGCTGGTCCTGAGGCTTGAGCTCCAGAGTCTGGACTCTGGCCCAAAGCCTCTCTGTGCTCAAGGCTTGTGCTTTACCACTTGAGCCACAGCACCACTTCCAGTTTTTCTGTTTATGTGGTATTTTTTTAGGAATCAAATCCAGGGCTTCATGCATGCTAGGCAAACATTCTACCTTCTAAGCCCCATGCCCAGCCCCCATGCTTCTCTTAAAAAATAAAAATAAAAAAATAAAAACAAAAACACAAATCTCAACCTAGGGCTGAGGGTATGGCTCAAGTGGTAGAGTATCTATCTGGCAAGCAACCAGGCCCCGAGTTCTATCCCTAGTACCACCAAAAAGCAAACAAAATACCTCATTCTAGTTCATTACTCCAATTACATTTTTAAAAGTATTTCTCTAGAAATAGAGCTGGATTGTCAGGAAATATATCCTCCAACTCAGCAATCAGATTTCTTAATATCCCCTCCCCCCAAAAAAAACATACATACATATATATTTTGGTTGTTTTTGTTCCCAAACTCACCAGTGTCAATCAGAATGCTCAAGTCTTGGCTTTTTTTTTTTTTTTTTTTTTTTTTGTGCTCAAACAGCAAAGATGCCACCATCTAGGTTGGAGGGGACCAAGGAAGAGGAAACAGTTCTGTCTTGCTGGGAGACTCTTGCCCTCTGCTCTCTGATGATAAACAATCTGGGGCTTCGCTTACAAGTCCCTTGGTTTTAGAGCAGATATAGCAACTGACACCCTCTGTTTATGACCAAAGGGAAATCAGTAGTGAATAAAGGAGAGGGTCCTGTTTTAACCCCCCCCCCCCCCCCAAAAAAAAAAAAAAGAGTGCTCAAGAAGGACTCCTGTCCTAGCAGGGAAAAGGCTGCTCTTTGGCCACACATCCACAGGGGCTGTGATTCAAACCAAGCAGCGATGAATGGCTAAGGCTCAGAACAGACCTGCTGTATACAGCAGAGCCTCCCTTGTTCTCTGAGCTGTTCAGCACACCTGCAAGGCCAGACTGGCTCCAAATGCAAATGCTCACTCTGCCATCACGGACACAGTAAGAATGATGCATGGGCCCATGCATGCGGAAACAGCTCACCACATCAATGTGGAGATTCAAGACAAAGGGTATTTCCCCTGCATGCTGCGGTTTCTATGAACAGATATACAGCTCGCAATTGCACAGGTGGCAGAACTCACAGCCACCACCCTTGCCTCCCAGCTGAGCTCCACACAGCAGGCCTTGGCTTCGAGGGAGAATTCCAGCAGACACTCTCGCCCCAGTGACAGCATCTCAGCCCCACAAAGGGCTTCTTATGCTTAGGCACATGACAGAGAACACAGATGTCCTTGTGAGACCGGCCTGAATGGGCCCTGTGACCACCTGAGTCTGGTCCTGGCCCTGTTCTGAGGAGCTGAAGAAAAAGGCAACCGACTGCCTAAAAGACAGGCCACTCTCACTGCTGTTGCCACTGCTAGTGGCTTCCTGTTCTAGCCACCCTCTAGAGGGGAAAGCAGTAATGGCTGGTTTAAGCTAACTACTAAATTACTAAATTCCTTCCTGATAAAACCTTCTCCTACCCACACAGGTGTCTATTAGTCCAACTTGAAGAAAGAGTTCCAGGTCTTCGCTCCACCAAAGGCCAAAAGCATAACCATGGGGGGGGGGGGGGGGATCCTCACTTTTATCCCCTCCAGATTGCTGTCAGACATTTTCCACAAAATTCATTGTAACAGGTAGACCAAAGGATCCTCCAGCTCGGGAGAACAGGGGTCCTGATCCTGGTTCCCTCTGTCACCACTGTTCTACCTACTCCATCAACCGTCTAGACAGGCCCTGGGGACCTAGACCTCCTTTCCAAACATACTGCTCCAAACATGGAGACGTTTCAGAGGGAGGAAATCCTCTGGTCTATTTCATCTGAAAGAAGGTGGTGAAGCAGTGGAGTTGATTGGAAAACAGGAAACCATTTCTTACCAATCAGTTACATTTTGTCATTTTCCTAGAAAGCGCTGCAGCTGCAACAGCGCCAGCCAGCCACATAAACGCTGACTGAAGGGCATCTACTGCGTGAGGTGACGCGATGGGTGCAGGACCCAGCTGGCCCACCCGTGCGGAGTCCATGTTACCCCAGCCAGAACCCTCTCCTCCATTCCAGGCCCAGAACTCTCTTGAGCACCCTTGCTCTCCAAATCACCAGCAAAGACTAACCATTTCAGGCCTCTATTGAACATCCCTGGGGCTCCAGTATGGCAGGTCTCTGTTCTATTTCTGCCTAGTTTTCTTTAGGAAAGGAGAGAAGCCCACACTAGGACCAAAACCAGCTCAGGGTCAGCTTCCTTCATCATGCGTAAGTTCCTTCCTCATTACTAAGCTGTGAGGAAATGCTTACTGGGGCTTCCTCAGTAATGTGGTGACACATTACTGTGGTTCTCCAGGCCACTTCCAGAATCAGCACCCACTCTGGCCATCAGAAAGAAGCTCACCAGAAGCTCAGGCAGAGTTAAAGCTTCTCAACATAGTGGCCCTTCAGGGTCTCTGCTTCCTCATAGCAAACAACAATCAGGAAGGGTTCCTTTTAGTTGAGTAAGGAGAATTAGGAGAAAATAAAGATCAGCTCACCCACCAAGGATATTAAAAAAGGGAACAAAAATACACGGAGCCAGGTCAGAGAGGAATAAGATGAGACCTACACCAAAACAAGATCACAGGCAGTTTGCTGTTTCACAGGCTGTGGCCACATCTTGACAGGTGGCCAAGCCAGTATCCCCAGTGGTAGGATGGCCACCTACCTGTTGACATCACACCATCACCCAGAACTGTCCCAGCAATGTGCTGAGACAAATGGAATCAGGCTCTGGATGTGATTCCCAGGTCACAATGAGTCCAGGGTGAGGAATGGGCTGAACAAAGCAAGCAGCAACAGAGAGACAAACCCAGGCGAGGGCCACCCTGCTAGACAACCAGTACGGTCTCCTTGGTGCATCCAGGGGGGAGGAGAGGGGACACATAGTAGGGGCAGGACCACCAAGAAACATGTGATCCTGGATCCTTGGACAAGATACTTTGAGGACAACTGGCAAAATCTAAATTTGGCAATTACTGATTATGTGACTCCCCAGGAAGACAGACATCCTTGAGGTTAAGGGGTGGTATGTGATGACACTCATGACTTAATACTTCAGCATAAAAGGCCGGGGGGGGGGGGGGGGGAAGGGCAAGCGTCTC